GTCTATCGGCCTTAATAATCAACTTTAGATATTGGCCATTGTTAACAAAATTCTTTAATTCAATTCAAGTTTATTTATATAGCGCCAAATCACGACAAGAGTCGTCTCGAGTGTAGAGAAGATGTTCTACATTTAATTAAAAACCATAAAAAGTGAAATATCACAAAAGATGGAATATCACCTTCATGGATCTTTGAGCAAATTTAACCAGAAGATCGGATCTTTTTATTGCAGGGATTGAGCAACGCTTCATATCAACTTCAAGAAAAGAGAGGGAGTCAGGTTTAAAGTTTAAAGATTCATTACTAAACAAATTAAACAAAACTAACTTTAAACACCAGGTGTATGGTGTAACTAAGGTGAAGTAAGACTGAGGACGGTGTATGTGTGAATATGTTCAGAACCAGCAGATCCGGAGAAACGATTAGTTCTGATGGGAGTGAAGATGATGTTTCGCGATAAGCTTTGGTTTGGAGATTTATAACACACATTGAGATGCCATCTGTCGGTCTACGTACCCTTGGCAGAAGTCCCAGTTAGATCAGGAATGTTGAGGTCCAGCTTGACCTCCTCTGGCACCGAAGCCAGTATAAAAGCAGCGGCTGCCGACCAGACCAGTCTTGAGATACTTCCGGGTCACGACAGTTTTATTGGCATCTAGCGAGACCCAAAAAGGGGGTCGTGATGGTTCAGCTTTTATTCTGAAAGGAACCGTTGCAGCAGGTGGGACATGCAACAGATTTAATCTAGCTTGTCGTTAGGTTCTTTCGGCTGAAGAGGAAAGTTACAGATTGGCCACTCCGACAACTTCTCTAGAACGCTTGAACTGAAGTTAAGATGACGTGGGCATACTTTTATAATTTGGATGTTTTGATTTACGGTCGAATAAAAAAAGGACAGATTTACCAAGCACCAACAAAACCACGCCTCGCGTCAGATCTGGAAGGCTCTGATTGGATCAGAAAAAGGAAATGTGTCATATGACTTAACATTACGTGGATGAGAATGTCTAGTGGAAATATTTAAAGTTATATTACTTATTGTAATACTACTGATCATAAACATTGTCATTTCACAGATTGGTTCCCATTTTATTATTGGACTAACACTTTGTTTGATTAGCTTATTAAAATAGAGAAAGAGTTTTTCTGATTTATTAAAAAGAAAGTATTCATCTTCATTCTTCTCTCGAGCTTGAAAATAAGAAACAGTTTAGAAGCAAAGCATGAGACCTTGAGCAATATATCATGCAGATTAGTTCTGTGTAGCAGAGCAAAACTGAGCAGGGTCTTTTAGGTCAGAAATGGACAATTCATCACGCTACACGAGGCACTTCACATAATAAACATCCCAATACAGCTCAGGTCATTAAGCCAATTAGTTAAAAGTTTCCTATATAAGGAACCCAGCAGATTGCATGGAGTCACTGACTAGTGTCAGAGTCTTTACAGCAATCCTCATACTAAGCAAGCATGTAGCGACAGTGGAGAGGTATCGGCATCGGCCTAAAAAATAAACATATCGGTCGGCCTCTAATGTTTTTACTTTCTGAAGCAGTTTGTGATATTTACCTTGACAGGTGGTGTTTTTTGTCTTACTAGCCATCAAGTGATAGATAAAAAGATTTCTTCGATTTAACGTGATGAAAAAATGTTCCAAATGTAACAAAATGTTCAGAAAGGAAAAGTTCAGGAATTCCTGAACCCCGTAAAGCACGTGTTTCATACAGGTTTTTTCACAGATGTACTGAGTAAGCATATTTCTAAAAATATCAAACAATGGTGTTACTGCCTTTTGTTTGAATGAAATTCATACAATGTCTCAGAAACACTAAAGTGAGATAAAACCATGTGAACTTTAATAAAAGCGTGTTTGCTGTTTTTCATGATTAACATCATTTTGACAGCTGACTCAGTCCTTAATCTGTGCAATTCTTTATAACTGATGCCATAAATAAAATTAGATTGTTCCTTTTGAGTTGCCTGCAATGCATCAATAAAAACATTGAGATCAGACTAGATGGAGGGATGACTGACCGTGCTTCTCATCTGTGGCAGTCTACTGCAACAAGTACATGAGTTTGTCTGATAGAGCCTGAAACATCTTAACTTATAAGAGATCATTGCTGAGCTTAACCTCCTCTGTGCTTGTGTCCTGTTCTGCTGTGACCTAATTCTCAGCACTTAAAACAGTCTTTGTGTTAAGAGCATTTGGACCCTGAAGCCTCCTGCAGATGCACCTGGTGCATGTCTTTTTCTCAGCATGAACCTGTAGGGGTTACGTTTGACCAACCATAACTGACCAGAAGATCTAACAGAAGACAACGTCTAACAGAGGTAGTGTTCAGATGTTCCCTTTCATATTTACTTCTCCTGATGACAACATTAACTATTTTGGCATTGACAAAAAAAAAAAAAAAAAAAAAAACATTCAGCTACTTGAAGAAGCCAAAAAGTATTTACAAAAAATTTTACGAAATTGTTTCTTCATTCACTCAAATTGTTGAATCGGGTCACAAACAGCAAATTTCAAGGCAATATTTTATGAGAAAAAAAAATACTAAACATTTAAGATTTACAGTTAAAGATCTTTATCACGCTTTACTTACACCCCATTGCAATAAAAGTCAAAATTAAAACACATAATAAAATGAGCCTTTCAGCACCAATTCACGAGGAAAGCATTTCCTTTTGGAGCAGATTGATTCCTGAGATGTAATCAAGCATTGTACCTTTAATCACGCTGCTTCTGATGCAGCAGTCAGTGCCGGAGTGTGTATTAGTACTGAGTATTAGTGCTACCTCGGGATCCCCGGGTTGCTCCTTCTGCTCTCTCCACATGACCCTGCTAATCCCTCAGCCTGTCAGTCTGAGACACACACACAGAAAGACACACACACACACACACACACACACACACACACACACACACACACACACACACACACACACACACACACACAGAGAGAGAGAGCTAATGGTAGCAGCAAGGACACTCTGTTTGCAGCACTACTTATAGAGCTTCTCTTATTTTTTCATTTGTGTCATGACGGTGTGTTTTTAGATCATATTTTGCCCCGACATGGCTGAACAATAATTACAGACCAGTGATGCATGCTTTAGAAGAATCCTCATAACAAATTATTCAGAAATGACTCTAATGGACTGAGAGGATTAACCCCCTCAGGCTCAACATAAGTTTGCATAAAAAGACAAACAACTAAGTCCTTCAGGGGTACTTCTGAGTTAAACAATGCTCATGAAATACGTATGTGGAGTAACCAGGTAGGTAGGTTTTAACGTTGCAAATTTGCAACGCCTGCCTCCAGAGGGTTAATAATAAAAATACAACTTGATCCCGGTTTGATGAGGTAAAAATGGGAAACAACTGGTGAACATCAAACACTGATGAGCGAAAACAGTAAATTACAAACAGCAATTACAAATAATTATGCCAAAATCAGTCAGTTTTATTTTATAGGCATAACATTAACAGTTTTATATTTTTAAAGGGTTTCCCGTGCTCAGCATGAGTAATAGTTTAGGAATTGCTTCTTTTTACTGCAAGGAAACACTTTTAAAGGATTTAATAATACTTTATAGACACCATAAAGTACTGATACTTTTTAAAGGATAGTCATTCTGTAAAATTGGTACTTGTAGATTAATTAGGTCAAAAAGATATAAATTAATAAATTATCTATTCTAATGATTAGAATACAAGTTAATGATTGGACCATGCAAGCATCTAAAATGTAAATGTTTGTTTTAGAATAAACCTGTTTAGGTTTTTGATTAGAGTCACAAGACGGTTTTTTTTGGGGGGGGGGGGGGGGGGGGGGTCACGCTTTTGTCTTCACATCACTCAACAGGTTTCTGCTCCAAAAACTTTATCACTTCACCAGCTTCCATCATCCTCATCATCGTTACAACCAGCTCCTGCATCACCAACACCAATTCTTCACTTACGCGCGTGCCTGTTCCCAAGTATTGAGTCATTCCTTCATCCTGCCCCGGTAGACACAAGTGTTGTTATGCAACTGTACCGTGACAGTTCCAGGCAGACAGACAGGACATCAGCATCTCTCCATCCTCTCATCCTTCAACGCCACATATCTGCGCTTCAGCCACATGCGCTTTTTTAAAGCTTTACTCACGGGATTTACTGCTACATTCTCTTTCACCCCCCACCCAACACACACACACACACACACACACACACACACACACACACACACACACACACACACACACACACACACACACACACACACACGACTAACAATCCTCAGGACGTTGGGTCACATGAACACACGCACATAAGGGGCCTGAATGGTTCACAGCTCGTTTTGCATGTCATGGTGGACCCCCTCTCCAGCCGTGACACAAACAAAAACAGCCAGTTGGACGTGGAGGAGGGGACACCAAAGAAACTCGCGTCCAGATGGAGGATTAAGGATGACATTTGCCTAAGAAATCAGGTTTTATGCGTCACGTTGCGACGGCCTCGTGATTAAATGCAGATCATGGTGTTGCGTCTTCACCTTGGCTGCAGTCATGAAGGGATGGCAGTCGGTCCTCAGATTGGTGCCCAACGCCATTACAGACGAGACCACCCTACTCTCGGTTCATTCATAAATACCAGAGAATTGCCATCTCGCAGCGGTGCATCATGCAAGTCGCAGCGCGCACCCCTCCCTCTACCTGCCTTTAACTTATCAAAGCCATTAAAAATCTCGACAGCACACACACGCTCTGCTGCTAATGCTCTGCGAAGTGCGAACATATAGGCAACCATAAATTCATACGGTTGAGATGATCTGATGAGAGCTGATAAGAGTCGGTTTGGGTTATTATTAAATAAGTAAATAAATAAATAAATAAATAACGAAAAGCAATTCCTGTGCGAGCAGCATCCAGTCAAGCAGAGGAACCACGGTTACGCCACTAAACAGCTTTAATCTCCAAGACGCCTGGCCTGGAAGAGCTGCGTCTCCATACCTGGTCGTGATGTGGACTTCAGGTCCGCTTCAGGCTCGTCCTCGGCTCGGAGGGATCAAACACAAACTCCGAACGCGTCTTAAAGCATTTTACGAGGCTCATGAAGAGCTCATGTCGTCCAATCTCCAGCACCACCACCGCGGCAGACACACTCACGCACACACACGCAGTCAGTCACACACGCACTACCCCCGTCTCTCTCCCTCCTTCACGCAGATAGGACGTGGGAGGTGCTATTCCCTCTCTTTTGTCTGTCCTCACTGGATTTTCCCTTCACTTCCTAAAACGTGGGACGCGATAAAGAAATTAAGTCACGAAGAAAATTTGGCTAACAGAGAGCAACTTTTACAAGAGAAAATGCATCATCAGCAAATGTTTGATAAAACATTGAGTAATTGAGACAGATCACAATGAAGTCAGTCATGAAACTAACGGGAGAAAAAGGATTTGAAACTGCAGAAACTGAACCAAATGTGACTATTTGAAAAATGTTATTTTACTGTCAGACTAAACCCATGACTATGTAACTGTGATGTTAGAGATAAGAGGTTTAATAACTGACAAAAGAAAGCATCACAAACCAGCACCATGGACAGCGACCTCGGAAATCTATACAGCTGTCTATATAAGCACATTAAATCTATTTGTTAGACAAAATATGAACATGTATTATGAACATATTATACTGACTGACTGAGCTCATTAAACCAGTAAGTACTCCAATATTTTATCAGGATGCACCAAAATAATTTCTAATCAAGTAATGTACATTTAAATACTTTGTCTTCGTTATTGAGTAATATTGTATTCATGTGTACGCCTCTCCCTGGAGCTAAAAAAAAAAAACATGTCAGAGCAGACCTCTTCCTGTGAGCTTTGTTGTTTGTACGTGACGCTATGACTCACCAACTCTGTCCAGTCCGCATTGCGTTTGTCTCCCTCTTTCGGCCAGTTGGAGAACTGCAGGAAGTGCAACAAAGCACACGTCTGTTTTTCTCAGAGAGAGCTAAGTCAAGTTTCCCTGCTGAATTTCAATGTTATATCAGTTAGTAGCTCATTATTTTTAAAAAGTCTTGTACTTAATTTGATAATGATAGAAAAAACTGAGGTGATTCTGAACGTTTTGCAAAAATAAACCTGCAGAAAATCAGTGTTCTTGCTATAACTGGCACTTATTTAAAAATACAAAAAGTCATAAATATATGTTGGGATCATGGTTGGGATCCATAAAAGTTGGATTTATAAATAAAGGGATTTTTAAAAATGGAATGGCCTTTGAGAGGCAGCAGAAACTCACTTTTTTCATCTCACCATTACAGCCTGCACTTAGACTAGGACCAAACCTCACAGTTACACCATGCAATCATTGGTTTCTGGGTTCCATTTTGAATAAAATCAATAAGCTCTTGGCCATCCGTGGCTGAAACACAATAAAATGCACAGCAGACACATCTTCACAGAAGCCATTTCCAGATGGGTGCTCTCCTCTCCCTCTGGTGATGTGTGACCAGCATGCTGGCTCCATCCACCATTTCCAGTGTGTTACATCCAGCACACAAACACAAATGGCCTCCCATTCAGATCCCACCAAGCATGAATCCAAAGCTAAATACAAATTAAAGCCCGGACGGTTAGTCTGACTGAATGGTGGATACTGTTCTTCAGCTAAAGACCAAGCCATGTAGAAACAGACTGATATCATATGCCAATATCTCATTAATACTGAAGTGGGCACAACTTAATCAGAGTATCCACAAGCACAACAAAGAAAATCCCCGCTACAGGAACAATTGCAGGAAGCACTGGTGCATGAACTTTGTAATCTGGACTAAATAACACTCTGCTAATAAAAAGGTGGAAGAAGCAGAAATAAGTCAGACACGGACACTTGTTTTAGATTGTCACTGTTCCAGTTCTTTAATCAATATGGAATAATAAATTAAAACAAATTAAAAGATAGAAGTTTTCCAGGTACCATTAAAGATTGATAACCTACCCAATGTGTATCCTCCAGGCACATGTGGGAATAAGGCTTATAAGAGCAGGAACATTAAAACACGTTTCCATTATTCCAACTCTTCACATTTCCTTAGATGTCAGAGTTTATTTCTTCATAGATACTTTAGATTGAGATTCAAATGTTTAATAAAGGCTGAATATATCGTAAACAACACATTTACCATCACAAATGAGCCAAATAAACACGTATCGGCACGTACCGGAGTCTGGCTAGGACTTGCAAATAAACAACTGAATTAATTTTCGCTACTTTTTCATCTGTTGTCACAGTACAACAAAAGTAACGGCATCACACAAAAATCACATTTTTAACCGACTCTTTTCTCCGTTCTGGTGGCAGTGAAGTGACATGGACGCTCAAACAATCTTCTTATGTTCCGGAGTAAAGTGCAGGTCGATCAGCATCATCCACCATGAAAAGTCGAGGACAAACAAAAGGTGAAACAACAAATACACACACACACACACACACACACACACACACACACACACACACACACACACACACACACACACACACACACACACACACACACACACACACACACACACACACACACACACACACACACACACACACACACACACACACACACACACACACACACTTCTCAGGGTTTTCACTGATCCTTGTCATGGTTGAGGGCCCGGTTTACAGCTGATAGAAAAAAAGTAACAGGAGGAAAGAAACATCACAACTGAATGGCACTAAAGCACAACATGCTGTTCATCATGTTGGAGACTCACCTTCCTTTGTCACTACCTCGCTGATGTTCTTAGCCTTGGCAGTCAGATCATTGACCACGGTGTCCATGGCAGCCTGGTGTTTCAGGAAAAATGGCCGGATCACACGCTTGTACAGAACGTCAGAGCCATTCCATGTGACCGGCGCCATACACCAGATCAGGAAGATGCACTGAGGAGAGAGCAGATGCCAGATGAGACATGCCAGAGCTGCTTTCCTTTCCTAAACTAACTCTGGTTACTCAACTCCTGAAATATCCGACATCAATCTAAAGTGCTCTAGGTTTTGCGCTGTTTTGGGGACAAACATTCAATCTGATATTGCGGAAATTGGGAATAATCTTTATGTTTCTGACATTTCACAGATAATCATACAAAAACTTTGTTTTTACCGACGTCATATGAAAATAAATACGGTATTTACTATGATACAATCTAAAATATGTTTGTTTTGTTGTAGCTGTGCCAAAACCCTTTACTTACTATCGCTCGCAATACAGGATGATATGCTTGTTAATCCTATTTTCTCCAGGATTGAGTTCATGAATTGAACAGAGAAAATGGGATTGTAAAGTGACCCTGAACAGAATTAAAGGCAGACTGTAGCGATGTTTGGAGTCATTTTAAGGGTTTTAATGTTTAAAATGAAAACACAAAACAGAATACAGAAACTGGACCAATTTATCTTAATTTGAGGTCATTTAAAAAGAACTGCAGCAAGGTGGAAAAGTGTGCTTAGGTCTGGGGAAGCAAAACAAAATGATGCTTAACCGATGCTGCAGTTTGGATCTGACAAGGTTTTATAAAACAAACAAAGTTTGTGAAATTTCTGCAAAAATATTAGATTTCAGAACTTAGATATCACAAGATTAGATATTTTATATAAAAATGTTTGTAACTAACACAAATCGTCGTTTTTCTGAACAGTCAGGGCAAACGCATTCGGAAAGAGCAGAATTAATCTAAGCAGAATGTTTTGATTGTTTTGTCATTGGACCGATCCTCCAGAACTTCAGCTGTCAGCAGCTTCTACTCAATTACAAACTTATTTTAGGAAAGTTTCCACTTTTTAGAGATAAAAGGCTCATTTTAACACTGCAATACTAATTAATAAGAAAGTAAAAAAGCCTCAAAATGTTGATTATTTTGCTAGCTTTTAAATTCTAACCAAGCTACTTTTGCATACCCCATTGGCAGATATTTCTACTCATAAAAGAAAAATTGGATCATATTTAAGAATATTTACCTTATTTTAGATAATACTATTTTTAGAGAAGAAATTATTTTCATTTTAGACTAAAAATAAGATAAAATGAGGCTTTTTTTACTTTCTTAGAAACCTGTTTGTGCAGTGCAGTCTACAATAACCAAAATAAAAAAAATGTAGCGTGAATGTAAAACAAAAACAATCGTGTACATTTAGATTTAGAACTTAGTACTAATATACATTTTTAACACTGTCCACTAGAGGGCAGTGTTGGCAAACATCAGGATGGTTAAAAAAAAAGTAAATCAGTAGAATTTAGTTCAGCATTCCTTTTACATAAAAGGTGTGTTTTTAATATGAATGCAGCAGTCATACCAACCAAAAAAGGAAATGCTTGCATCAGTAGTGATTAAACTGATCGTTTTAAGGCAGGTGTGAAACTTTATAGATGGCTCACAGATTCAGTTTGACATCAAGAATAATGTTTGACTTCTGAAAAGAGTTTAATCATCTAAGTTTTTGCTTTTTATCTTTTTTTAGATTAATGAAAAAGTTTGAGGCTTAACAATCTATTAATCCCAAAAATAAAAATCTATTTAACACTGATGAAACTAAAAGTCTGCTGTCCAACAGCGGTAAACCAGCGTGTACATCTACAGCATGGTTCATAAATCTTCACGTGCAGCTTGCTAACCCAGATTACTAAATACTAGGGCTGGGGGATTATTCTGACAATTATTTTATCGAATAGTCGACTATTCTAATGACTATTTAGACAATTAATCTAATGATTATTTTTCTATTGCACAGTTAATAAAAACCAAAAAATCTAATAAATTCCTCAAAAATATGGATAAATTGTTTCTGTAAGAGAATAAACACTACAGGCCTTCCATTTTGTATAATATTGCTTTCGTTCTGGTGACGTGTAGAACTTGGGAGAGCAGGCTGCTGCCTGAGAGGTGGTTGGAGACGGAGTGTCTCCATACTGCTTTGTTTTGGTCACTTATGTGCGTGAGGTGAGTGGTGTTACGACTCTTCCTGGGGAGTTTGGCTCGTGTGCAAAAAGGAAGGGACAATAACGGGATTTAAAAGTTAAAATGATGATCAGGTTTATTTACAACTACGAAAAAACATAAATCTTTCCATCCACAGGTTGGGAATAATAAAACTAATTCTGCCTGTGGGGAATTAAAACAAAAGTACAAATAACTAGGGATGTCCCACTGGGCAAAGATTACAGGGTTCTGGACCAAAATAAGGATCTCCAAAGGTCCAAACTCTAAACTGGGCGGTTAAACCAAACTCAAGATGATATTTTAAACCAAACCGAAAACCCACAACACTCTAAATGTAATAAAAGGGAGATCTGCACCACAAAAAATATGAACTCTAAACCAAAACGTAACAGCTTATCCAAACGCAAGAAGCTGTTAGCGAAAATGCTAACAGTAGCTTTACCAACGTTAAGTTCAAGTTACCAAGTTTAAATAAACCAAAATACCCAGCAAACAGACCAGCACGGAGGAGAGACTGCTACCACCAAAACAGCTCTCCTAATGTCTGAAAGAAGCTCCTTTATGAAGGGAGAAACGCTCCCGGTGATTTTCTACATCTGCGATTAGGGATGCACCGATCAGGTTTTTTGCTGCCGATCACCGATATCAAAGAATGCTGATCACCGAGATCAATCACCGATACTGAACACGTGGATTGGCCAGAAATTTTCTACAACATTATAATGAGTGCTACAAACTACATAATCTGGGAATAAAGGAAATGTAACCTAATCTACAATAGTCTGTATTAGGGTTGTCACGGTGTGAAAATTTAACCTCACGGTTATTGTGACCAAAATTATCACGGTTTTCGGTATTATCGCGTTTTTTTTTAAACGTGCTACATTTTCACACAATTAAATAAACCCTGTATGTCAGGAAATATTGTCCTCAGTTTGTGTCTAAATTTTGCCTAAAATGTGTTATTTAGTAATTATGTTGTTAATTTGTTTACATTTTTTCCCTTTAGTTTTTAAAATACCAATATTTGCCCATAACTTCTTATTTTATGTCTGCTTGATGTCATCATTTAAAAAATATTAGATCAGATGATACTCAGTACTCAAGTAGCCTTCTAATCAGATACTTTTTTTTTACCCTTACTTAAGTAATAAACCCTATATCAGGAAAATATTGTCCTCGGTTTGTGTTCCAGTGAGCTTTGCAGATGTGGGAAAATGTCATCAGGCAGTAATCATTGTTAAATTCATAATTATTCTCGGAGAGAGAACAACTCTTATCTGCCCCTGGGAGCCCCGTAATGCATAGCGTCATTTCAACATGGGGGTGTCCGCGACACGGTTTATATGCAGGTAGCGGCGCTGCGGCTGCTTTATATAGCGACTCGTTGCATTCTCCCTCAACCCAAATCCTCGGATCACGCATTTTAGCTAAAACGCTAACGTTAACTTGCCTTGCGTTGACTGTAGAGTTGTGGGTGATCGTCACGCAGATGTGTCATGAGATTTGAAGCGTTGCTGCCTTTCACAGACACTTTTTCTGCACGTGCTGCAAACAGGATAGCCGTCTTCTATAAATTGCCCCTCAACATTCTTCAAATATCTAAAATATGCCCGTACTTCTGACTTTGTCTTCTTTGAGGGATAAAAATGTCCTCCTGAGCGCTGCCGTCTCCTCCTTTGACCATTATTTCAGCTTTAGCTTCAAGAAAGTTTTGGTCGTAAACAACAAAGCGCGCATGTGCCGCCGGCAACTTCAGCCGATGATACGGTGGCTGGTAAGGGTCACCACGCCTACACCGCAGCCACGGTAATCTACCAAGAAAATTTTTTTTTTTTTTAAACAAGACTGTTATTATTATTGTCAACTTTTTTTTTACCGGGGTTTACTGCTACAATGGTTATCCGTGACAACCCTACCTGATCGGTCTGCTTTGATCTATTTTGAAAATTCCGATCAAAACCGATAGGGGCGCTATCGGCCGATTACGATCAAATGCCGATCCATCGGTGCATCCCTATTTGCGATAGAGACGAAGCAGCGCATCTGACCCCGGAAGTTGTTGTCCGTTTCTGGGAGACGAAGGCGGGCAAAACAGGAAAGGAATCTAGTAGCGGACGGACATTGTTCTGGGTCTTCGGTATTTGGCGGAGATGTTAGTGAAGGTGGAGAAGAGGGCGAACTAGAGGAAAAACAGGCAGATTCCTCCTCTATTTACAAACTCCTGGGGATGCAACAAGTGGGCGCGGTGTGTCAACTACCGGATCTGACGTCGACAAATTTTTTTAAATCGAGCCGTCAACGTCATCGAGGCTTCGCTACAGCCCTACTGAATACACACAGCAGCCAGCAGCTAGGCTCTGAATGAAGGGGAAATGCTCATATCAAATATCAGCCTACCTTGCTCGCATAGTAAAAGGGGAACCAGAAGAGGAAGATGTCAGAGAAGGCCTCCACTATGCTGAAGAGTCCGTAAACAACCCAGTAGGTCAGCCACTGTGTGTCATCCTCCTTATTATTGCTTTCAATGGCCTTGATGCTGAAGAGACAGGACAGAAGCAGCTCAGGAAACTCAAAGGTCTCAGTGTTTTCATGCAAATAGTAATTTCTGTGGTGGCTTATGAACCTGAACAAAAATTTTTTTGAGCTCTGTAGAACTTCATTTGGGTGTCTGAAATCACCATCAACTCAACAACCTTTAACTCATTCACTGCCAGCGACGACTAAAGTCGTCATTTACATTTTTTTATTGTGTGGGCGTCGGAACGAGCCCCCACACCATGAGAACAAACATCCCAGCTCTAAAGCCGATCTTCATCCACGTATGTAACATGTCACGTGATCAGGAAGCAGAAAATCCATGTGTTAGGAGATCGTTTTGGGCCACTGCTGTAAAAAAAAGTGAGGCGCGAACCAGAAAAGCTTCTGCCGATCACAATTCGACAACGCATTGTGGAAAGATGGATAACGCTCAAAACGCGCGGATTCTTCCTGATGTAAGAGGTGAGTCTCCGCTTTGTTTTGGTCATTTTGGCGTCGACATCATCATAGCGTGTAACGTTATGTGACTCTTAAAAAACCAGTAAAAACGCTGAAAAACGCTGGCAGTGAAGAGCTTTTCTGATCAGGAAACGGCTGGCAGTGAATGAGTTCAAAACAAAGATGTGGTTTTGTTTGCAGCCCTTTAAAATCTTATTCAATGAGATTTGCAGGAAAGTGTTTCAGTACCAGCATGTAGGGCTGCAACAAACGATTATTTGGATAATCGATTAATCGGATGGGGTCTCGACACGATTAATCGATTAATCGGATTACATGGGGAAATTTTTAAAAACTGCTAGGGAAACGTTATTTCTCTCCTTCCTTCACTTTATTTAACACAACATTATTAGAAAACAGTTCAATAGCAGAAAAACAACATGCCATCACCTAAATTGTCTTATAAGGTGTATAGACAGAGACCCTAAGCTACATCTATCTGTGACCTAAAATGCTTGGTCCAAGTTAAACAGCTTAAGGGCAATTCTCATCTGTTTTGTTTGATCTCATCTGTTGACATTTATTTTAAATGTAATTAAACATAGGCCGTGAATTAATCAAAATTGATCACTATTTCCAAAAATGACTGAAAAAATACCAAATAAAACAAAAGTAAATGAATGCCATCCTCCTTGCGATGATGCCCTGGGCAACTGCCATAAAGTCACATCAAGAAATGCTGCTGATCATTCCAATGATCCCAAATAGACTCACATTAGGCCACATGAAAGCAACTGAACCCAAAAATATATTAACCAGTATATAACTGCACTCTCACACAACACGCCTGCAGCAACAGTTAGGACTCCTCCCTCCCTTTTAAAAGCGTTTTTGCTTCTGAGGACATTGTGGTTGTAAAACCACATGCTAGTCTGGCCCCGGTGTGATCAACCAGTTTCTGCGGGAATGTGACGGCGGAACCAGGGCCAGATTAACACTTTGTTGTACCCTGGGCAACAATATTCAAGGGCTCCATCATCACGACCCAAGGATCACCATAATGTGGTCACATACAGAATATTTTACTGTAATATGCAGTAAATATACTCAATACTTGAATGCCTGACAACACGTAACCCGCCCAGAGTAACCTTTGACCCACCTCGTGTGGACTGACCAATGAGGAAAGGGTCTTAACTTGAGGCCCTCTCTTCATTGGTCATTCTGCATGAGACTGACTCAACTGACGTTCAGTCGTAGGCAGCGAAGCGTCTCTGTGCAGCGCAAAAGCCCGGGTGGACAGTTTGTTTAATGTAGGGTGACCATATTTCCATTTCCAAACAAGAGGACAGGGATCTATGACGTCACACTATGGCAACGCCACACAAACCATGTTGGGACCCATTTTTTGTAAGAACTAAATTAATATCAGATTCTGCCAATTAAAGGGCTCTAAAACAATTCATATGTAAATATTTTGCATATTTAATGCAAAATCTAATTTTTCTGCTTTAGTGCTGCAACAAGGTTTTATTAATAATAAATTATTATACCTTTTGTTTTACTACAGCATCGGTAAGCTTCCTGTGCACAGATTATTAAGGATGCTTGTTTCAGCTGTGAGATTAGACGATAGGATCAATGAAAAAATAAGTTGTCACACACTCCATGGAAACTTTCAGAGAATCCACAAATAGTGGCTTTCAAATGGTTTTGTTACTTTTTGCAAGTTTATAAAAGAAGCAGATGAGACAGCATGTCTGATAATTTAGTTTTTTATCTGATAATATTAGAACATGTCAGTAATGTCTGAGGGGCTTTTATAAACACTGTATAACTAACACTACTGGAGAGGGCATGAATTACACAGAGGCTTCTGGGGAGCCCAGTTATTGGGGGGGTGGGGGGGGGGCATTTTGCCTTGGCCCCCAAAATGTCTTGAAACGGCCCTGGGTGTGTGACTGAGTTTTGAAGGTGATCTGAATTGTATCAGATGTATAAATATTACATGTGTATAACTTATTGTTTTTTACTGGTAAAAACGTGTAGTGGAGATAAATCTACCTACATTTTACTTTTCAACACTTTGTTTTGTTTTCTTGTTTTTATTTAACTATTTTCCTGTCCTGTCTGTCTCTCATCTTCCTGCATCTCCTCTTAATTCTCCAGAAAAACTGCTGCCTGGATTCTTACCTTTTCACCTCATCAGTTACTTTTGAGCAGATCAAAGGGATCTCCTGACCATAAAGCGGAGAGCGCGTTTTCGATGCTGCGTGAGGTGAAATCACCGCAGCACAGGTGATGAGCTCCGCAGTAGCGCGCTTCAGGCACAAATAAGACAGAAAATAGAGAACATGTGCGGACATGAACGATCGTGTGCTAATTATAGTTTTTTGGTTGCGCCACTTTGAGAATGGACCGTGCGCTGGAAGCAGCTGCCTGGATCGCTGTGCAACAATGCGGAACCGGTTCGCAGCAGCGCAAGTCTGCCGGCTCTCCCTCGCGCTGATCTGCCGCTACCGGCTCTCCCTCACGCTGATCTGCGGCTCTCCCTCGCGCTGATCTGCCGGCTCTCCCTTGCGCTGATCTGCCGGCTCTCCCTCGCGCTGATCTGCGGCTCTCCCTCCCGCTGATCTGCGGCTCTCCCTCGCGCTGATCTGCCGGCTCTCCCTCCCGCTGATCTGCGGCTCTCCCTCGCGCTGATCTGACTTGCTCTGGTCTGCGCGCAACGGCGGGCGGGAAGGGGGGGGGTGGGGGGGGGGCTTTTGGAAGAGTTGTGCGACACAACGAATCGATGACGCAATTCGTTGCCAACGCTTTTAGTAATCGATTTTCATCGAATTTATCGATTCGTTGTTGCAGCCCTACCAGCATGCACTGCTTTTCTCCAAACATTTTATTTGATATGATAAAAAAAAGACCCCCACAAAGAATTCCATCAAAATTAATTATTAACAGTCTGCCCTTGCAGATTTATCAGTGAGAAACTGCTTATCGGAGACCTGATTAGAGAAACACGATCAAAAGTCAAAAATACACTGTAATGCTTATCTGCTAGGTGACATTTGAGTGTTTTGGTGCTTATTTGATGCCATACGTACGAGAAGTACGCCGGATAGATGAAGCCAATCAGGTTGCAGAGAAGTGAAGCTCCATATCCAAACAAAAGGTAGAGGCCAACGAAACCCAAACCACCTGCAGGGGATAAAGAAATGAGAGTGAGGCGAGAGTTCAGGGTGGGGCAGAAATCGGTGGCAGGGGTGGGGATGTAGGGTATCGTGTTACTGTGAAAACACTGTCATGGAGCAGTCCGATAAAAGGAACAGGAGGACAACTGAGCTAATCTTCTGATTAATAAATACCTTCTGTAGATCCTGTAAACTCATTTATATAAGAACATATCTCACAGTCTGGTGTCATGAAGCACCAATCATCATTACATATAAATGAGGATCTTATTGTTCTGAATGCTTTAGAGCAGTTTTAGTGTAAATCCTTAAATATCTATCATCTCCTCCAACAGATAATCACACTCATTTATGCAAACCACATCTGCTTAAATACCCTTTAGACCCCATAAAATGTTATGAGCACGAGGTCTCACATCATCCTAGAGCAGTAAAAGTCTGATAGCTTAGCTGCTTTTTACATCTCATTTCTTTGTTGCAGTTCATAAACAAATATCTTTGAAGCGCTTATTGCATCAGCTCTGAATAAGGACAGAACAGGCTGAAAGTGATGAACCCAGCTCATGTAAACCATGCAAAACCACTATCAGATGAATGTATCAACACCAGAGAAACACATTAGCCAATACAACGGTCACTGATGATCTTCAGTATTTGTTTTAGAAACCAGTTTGGTGCTGGTTGGAAGACAAAAACATTTGAGTTCAATTGCAATAATCCTAACTCATAGGTCCAGATTATTAATCCTCCAACTTCATTTGGCATTATGGCTAAATTTATGAAAAATATTTCAGTATCAGATATTGAATTTTACATTTTACATTCAAGTTTTAAAGGGACTATAAGGAACTTTGACAGCTAAAACATGTATAGAAATAATACATTTCTTCTTCATACATTCTTGTAGAATGAGCCCTGGCATTTTTACTGTGATTGCCTGTTTTTCTGTAAAAATCACAGAAAAAAGAGAGCTGCTCGGGTCCAGCAGGCTGCTTCATGCGCGTTCATGCTCAGGCACAGCCCGTAGCATTTGCTATCAGTAGCTTTAGCAGCAGAGAGTGAGGTAGTGCCACTTTGTCACTGTTCCTAACGCCTAGTGACAAACCTAGCTACATTTCTGAGGACCCTTAGCTACTTTCTGTAGAACTTTCTTCTAGATATTTCCTGCAAATTAGCAACAAAATGTTTCGCTCAGAACCGTTCTTTGGATTGGTTGTTTCAGCTGTCATTAAGGATATAAACGTTACAGATACCTCAATTGTTACTGGCGCTTTAGCTCACCTAGTAAGAGGTCTAACTTGCATGCAGAAGGCCTGGGTTCGACTCCAGGTGTGAACAAAATGTTTTTTGGAGTTTCTTTTTTACATTAATGATATATATTTTTACAGTAATAAGACGCCCAACTTTTTATTTGAGACTCGCCGAAAGGCATTGAATTCACAGATAAAAAAGATGTGGGTTCAACTTTCATTTTGGAACAATTTTTCAAGCAAGGGAAGGGAATGATCTGAGCATGCAGGAGGACTGACCCATCATAAACCTTTGTCAGCTGTGCTGAAGAGAAAGGTACAGAACCAAATTATTTAATTAATTAGCTGCATGTTCTCCTGTCCTCTGGGACACACACACACACACAAACCACGTTCGGCTGGCCGACGAGAAAGTGCAGCTGCGGAGACAGAGGCACATTATTTTTATTAATTTGCTGTGTTCTTCTGTCCTCTGGGACACACACACACACACACACACACACACAGGACTGTCTCAGCTGTTATTTTTGTAAAGGAGTGTGCACGTATAGCATGCGCACCTCATGCACGAGCTTACTTTTGAAGCTGCAGTTACGCGTTAGGCCTGAGTGGCGATCGTGAGCATAAAAATTTCAAACTTCCTTAGAGTCCCTTTAAAGGGGACATAACCGTGGGAAATCCACGTTTTGGAGATTTCTACCATGCAACATTGTTATTTCCTCAAGAAAACAACCCCAAAATCAGTTTTTGGCTGCATCCATGCATTTTCCTTTATCAGCTGCAAATTTAGAGTTTTACTTTGAAAATTATGAAAACACTTGAATGACTGACATCATCAGGCTTTTCTCCACTCCCTGAAGCTGGTGGTCTCGGTTCTGAAACCTGGATATTCTGTGGAGTTTCTGACAGATTAAGTCTATACCGCTGTAAAAACCATGCTTCTGTCTACAAAGACACATATAATAGCCAGCACAGGAAATGTATGTTAGACGACTTTTGCTTTGTAACAGACTCAGTATAGTGTAGTGATGGGAGCTCGTTTAAGAGGACCGATTCTTACGGCTCGGCTCGCTGAAATGAACCGGCTTTTTTGGCTCTCAAACAGCTCCTCACATTTTTTTTAATTTTTTTTATTAATTCATCACCAGGATTGATGTAAAATGTGTGTGAAATTACTGACCAATTTATAAACTCACAATAATTTTTATTATTTTGAGGGAGACTAGGCAGCTTGGGCTTGTTTCGGCACCCCTAGTGTCCGTTTAGTAGAGCCAAAAGCAAAACGTATGCATGCATGTATGATAATGATAAATGACCCGCACTTGTATAGCGCCTCTCAGAGTAAGGACTCCAAAGCGCTTTACACTATCATTCATCCATTCACACACACATTCACTCACTGATGGTGATGAGCTACGATGTAGCCACAGCTGCCCTGGGGCGCACTGACAGAGGCGAGGCTGCCGAGCACAGGGCCACTGGTCCCTCCGACCACCACCAGCAGGCAACGTGGGTTAAGTGTCTTGCCCAAGGACACAACAGCAGAATTCTCTGCCCAGAGCCAGGTTTGAACCTGCAACCTTCAGATTACTGGACAACCCGCTCAACCTGTTGAGCTACTGCTGTCCCATATACTGCTGTATGCATGTGTGAAAATGCATTGCTGCAATACTTTTATTTTGAAAATTACAGAGGAAATTACACTGAAACCATGTGTGATTTCCCTCTAATTTCCCTCTGGGATTAATAAAGTACCTTTGAATTTGAATCTAGCCTTTCTTGCAGAAATTGAGGCATCCCAGAAGCAGCTCGCAGAAAAAAAATAGAAACCAATCCTATATTTAGCAGCATGTTGCGGTGTGCCGCTTCTGGGACGCGTCTGGCTTGAAACAGACTACAATGGATTCTACTTGAAGCAGAGCCATTCTGCGCCGCTGATGCTTCCAGTGTGCAGCAGGGGTAATAGTTCACTTATAATCTGTTTAACTGTACTAATGAAACATGACTCAAAATAAGGATTTTGCACTTTAACCCAGATGCTTCATGTTTAAATCAACTGGGTATAGGGAGTTTATTTGTCCTGAAATGATAAAATACTGTTGATGAGATCTCAGGATGTGTTTAATTTGACTCATTTTAGTTTGATATTATTTAAATACTCGTTTGTAGTTGAAGCTTTTGCTGTTCCAGTAAATAAAAAAAAGAGAAACTACCATCCAATTCATCACGGTTGATTCTTCTGATGCTCAGACACTTTCAAACGCACCTACTAGCAAATTTTATCTACATCTCTTATGCTAAGGATGCATTATAAATGCTACTGTAAAGGTATTTTAGAGTCTGTTAATGGGTCAGCTTTATTTGAACGGTCTGTTCCTTAAAAGTGAGCAAGGGGAGGCATGTTATCAAGCCCTGACAGGATGGAGATAGCTACTCAACCACTTTATCACAACAAGACAGCTCTCAAAGAGACACAGTAGAATCAGATTAGTCAGAATAAGTTGGTTGAGATGTAATTTTAGTTTGCACTTTTCAATAAGGCAAATTGGATTTTTCTTGTATGTGGGGGAGGAAAAGGAAAAATGACATTGAATATCACTCCTTTCAGGTCTAAAATTAAAATCAGTTAAGGTTTTCTTGATTTCCATCAACATCATAACAATCTCACTGAAGATTGCTTGAAATACACCAGTCTGCTCCTCTGGCTCTCATCCAACTTATCTGCAGCAACCAAACCTAACTGAAATCTGACTTTAAAACTTGAAATGCCAATAGTGGTGTGAATGTAGGTCACCCTGGTTGGCACGTTTCCTGTAGCTAAGTGATTCTGCAGGCACTAAACTGCCTGGGGTGTTTCGTTTTTATTGACCTGCTGTGCAAATTGATTCAATTGAGCTCTTGTGAATACACAACTCCCAAAAAGCTAATGGGTGGAGAAGCGTGTAACCAAATGCCAGCCCCGGATCTGCAGCTATTCCTATCCTGCAGAGGATATTTTGTGAGGTTAAAAATACCCCAGGGACCAGTTGCTGGTGGGGTATCATGAGAAGGAAACATTCAGACATGTGCGGGATTATAATCCATGAAAGCTGAGTCAGGCTGCTACTCCAGACTGAACAGCAATAAAACAAAGCCAACCTAGCGCGACACACAAACCACGACAGTCAAGCGGCCTGTAAACGGTCATAAATTATCACGTGACCCAGATAACGCAGCTAAACGTGGCTTTAAAACCTGATTATTTTAAACATTTATTCTGTGGAAGTGTAAAAGCGATGTCGGGTCTTTTATTTTTCACCTACCCAAAGCGATGAACTCTCTTTTCACTCCGGTTTTTTGCTCCAGCTTCTCCAACTGGTCTGTCACAAAGTTCTTCTCATGGAGCAGAGTCACGAAGCGCTCTTTCAGGTGACTCATTATCGGGTCTTCTGGTCAAGCTGCACAGCTATAAGGCAAAAGAAGGGTTGTTTCTGCTAAACTTAGCCCGCTACTTTCTCCTAATCTATGGTTGAACTATGCTGATTGACTGTCAACCGGCAACGACGCTGGAGGAGGGGCTTAGGTCTCTGACCAATCAGAGAGCCCCTTGTTGGCAACGGATGAGACATCTTTAACAAAAAGTGGATTACTTGTATTAATAACATAACTGTTATAAAAAAATTAACAAAAGTAGATGGCTATTTGATGTTTACATGAAATAAGACACTGGCAAGTAAATGCTGATAGTCTATGAAAAGTATTACAAGAAAGACCCTCAAAGGCTCACTGAAATACAAACCATTTAAAGTGCTGTCGTTTTAAAACTAAGGTTATGTTAAATCAGTGTGTAGATGTAAAACATATCGAACTGGCAAAGGCAGTCACCATGGACGAAGTGACAATACAGTGAACTATCTTGTGAATTTTGATCTTTGTTCTGACCTGTTCAAAAGAACTGCTGCCCTCTTGTGGATATCTAGTGATATTACATGCACGTGGTCCCGAAATGCCTACAAACAAGTTGCTATAAATTCATCAGGAAAAGAGGATAAAACCTAAATTTTGTTGCTTTGGTTTTATCGTTCTTAATTTAATTTTAATTTTGTTGTATCTTAGCGTTTACATTATTATTAGGGTTCCAAGCCCAAAGGGCAGGGAACCCTATTGTTTTTCTACGGATTTTTCATTATTTATTATTCTTCATTATTCTTCTCCGCTGTGTCTGTATGGGCGCAAGAGCCTGAAATTGCCAGGGAAAATCTGACATGGCAGTCTGATAGAAAATCCTGACCGCTACTCAGATTCGAAAATTTGGACCCCGCATCACCTAGGTGGCGCTATTGCGGAGGTCAACACGTTTCAGCTACTAGCTCCCAAACCGTAGGTCCTACAGTCAAAAACTTTATATGTACATGATCCTTGGATGATTCTCCATCTTTTTTAAATTGGCCACGCCCATTTCCGCCTAACTAGATTTTTTGCTAGATCGCAAAAAACGCAAAACTTACTTTTAATCACCTATTCGTCATTTTTCGTCGAATCAACTTCAAACTTCGTACATGTGATCTATGGACTAAGGTAAGTTGTTGTGATGAAGAAAAATGCAGAAATATTGAAAATTGGGCTAATGACACCATGTCAAAATCAGTGCGCTAGCTAGCACATGTGGTAATTGATGATATCTTGACCATTTCTCAAGATAAATTGATGAGACTCTAGACCCTTATGAAGTATGAGCGGTAAGCCCTAGCTACCCCATTTTGTTTGGATTCACCAATAGGGGGCGCTAAAGAGTCAAAAAGTTTGTTTCAGCTAAACGGCTTGATGGATTTCCACAGAACTTGGCACATATGTTAATCATCGGACCCTTAAGCTATATTTTGAAAATGATTAAAAAGTGGGCGTGGCTTATAGGCTTTAAAAATTTTCGCCCTTTTACTCATGAAAAATACATATTCTATACAGAAAATTACAATTCTTATCAGTCATAGTGACATCTACAATCACAGAAAAACTTTTGAATTTTGTCCAATAGGTGGCGCTGTGGTACCCCAAAAATATTTTTGGCATGTTTCTCCCCATTTCTTTCGTAAAAAAACAAATGATCTCGTCTAGTGTGTTCAATGAGTCAGTCAAATTTAGATGAGTATTTTAAAAAATGTTTTAAACTTATGCAAATTAGTAGAAATTTGCATAGTAAGTCCAACGTACTTTCGTTAACTCCTCCCGGCCGTCAAACTCATTCACATCACAACTTTCCCTGACAAGAGAGGAGGAGCGGCTGACCAAAAGATGTGAAGGGATTTGGGATAATTTGCTTATTTTTTTTAATATGATTTTTTAAAATAATTTTTTGGGAATGAAAAAGTTTTTTTTAGCGTAACTTCAAAAGATTTTGACATTTTTCAAAGCTGTTCATAACATTCATACCTAAGGTCAATTCAAGTGTATGTCCTGGTTTTCAACTTGATTAAACAATAGGGGGCGCTATAACTGGGAAGAAATTATACTGCTAAACCAGCTAAATGGATCTGCACGAAACTTAGTGGCTGTCATCACTATAGAGTCTTAAGACTACATTATCAATATGGTAATGATTGATCAAAGTGGGCGTGGTTTATGATCATTTAAAATTTCAAATTTGAAAAATGTCCTAAAAATCACTATTTGCATGTAAGAGGCTAAGATTTCCAGATTGTGTTAACTGGATAGGCTAGAGCTTATGTCACGAAAGCCGCAGCTCCACAAAGAGGTTTGCGCTTTATATTTACGAAAATACATTTTTAGGCTAGCAATTGTAGCGCAAAATGTGTTCTCACAATCTTCTTGTAATTTGCCACAAAGTTCACTCTTTGGTGGTTTATGAAATAAAAAAAATGTCGTCTTGATTTGAGCTCCCCCTAGTGTTTAATTATAGGACATATTTTTGTCTACAGCCACTAATGCAAATATTATTTTATTGTAAGTACAGTTTTACATTTATGACCCCAACAAAAATATAAGAAGAATTCTCACATAACAGAGGCAACCTGGGAATATTTTGAGATTTCTGTACAAAAGCATAGATTTTTAATGAATTTTTAACTTTTTACCAGTTTTTCTGTATAGTTGGACAACAACGTAATTAATATTTGTTTTAGAAAGATTTTTAGGTATACAGTAAATATAAGCCATTTACAACATTCCACATGTACCTATGGTGATCTGAGATTTTTCTCCTAATTTTAGAAAGTAGCAATATTTTTTTATGAATATTTTAATTTTTGTTGTGACCTTTATAGTTATATTTACCAATTTTTCTTCAAAAAAGCTTTGAGTCTACTGATTTAAAAACAACATCATAGTATTCCGCATGTTAACACTGCCATGTGAGAAAATTTTGGTAATTTTAGGATGATTTGTGTATTTTTCATGATTTTTTAAAACATTTGGTCAGTAAGTCACAAAATGAAACTCATAGTTTTTGTTGAAAATCTTTTAAATCTAAAGACATTATCAAGGATTTATGTTATTTGTAATATTCCGTTGATGTATAGATCATTGTTTGATAATCTCACTCATTAAATCTTCACGTTCTTTAATAAGGAAACAGTGGAATTCCATTGTAATCACCATTGAGAAGTCAGCCATGCCTCTGAAAGATATGTGTATAGGCTTCGCAGGTTTAATGACGTATCCTGAGTGTTACTTTCATTGCGCCGGTTGAAGTGAGCTGACGGGACGCCGGCGGGAGAACGTGTTTTTGGGGCGGGACTGCGTGAGGACTGGCAAAGTTGAGGGCGGGGTGGGTGGGCGACTGGCGCTGGGGGCTTGGAACCCGTTGATAACTGCTTGCAGTTCTAGTTATTATTATTATTATTATTATTATTATTATTATTATTATTATTATTATTATTATTATTATGAACACACATGGACCGTAACTGGTGTTGGGTAAGTTTTCTACTCTGACAAAATTGGGATTTAAACTTAAGCAGGTGCGATTTTGCATGCTGGATTCACTGATTTGCTTTTGAATGAACAAGAATCCTTCTCAGAACTGTCTTGCCCAAAGTCGAATCAATGTACACATGGTTGTTCATATGAACTGCTGTTGTTATGGCATTGTCTCTTCTCTGGACTTGTCTAAATTGTTGCAGTCGGACCTCTCTGACTTTATCTCTAAAACATCTATATATAGATGTTTTAGAGCTGTCCCTCTGATGGACTCCTATCTGTTCTCGTCACTCCCAAAGAGAACCTCAACATCTTGAGCTTTGCGATCTCCTGTTCGGTCCTCTTGTCTTGTCCTCATGGACACTGTCTCTAAACCAGACAGCATGACCGGTCTCACTACTGTCTTCTACTGTTTTCTACATGCTGTCTTAGACACAACAGACTTCTTAGCTACAGGAACGATGACAGACGTCTTGAAGCAGGATGCAATCTTGGACTGACAGAGAGAGATGTTAAAAATGTCTGTCAGGACATCCGCCAGCTCATCTGCACATTCTTTAAGCGTCCGCCCCGGGATGCTGTCTGGGCTGTCCGCTTTCCTTGGGTTAACCCCTGCCAAGACATTCCTGGTGATTGCTTGGCTGATGACCTCTGGGGCAGACCAGGTGAGGGGGGGGGGGGGGGGGGGGGTGATATACTCTCCCCTCCTGGTGCCTCCCCCCTTTATTCAAATCGTGCAAAGAACTTGTTGAGTCTGTCTGGGAGAGAAGCATTGCTGTCCTCAATTCCCTGCCTGTTCGTGTCAATTGTTGGATCCCCTTCCACATTTGCCTGGTGTTCCCTGTGTTGCAGACATTCTCCTGGATTTTCTCAGCATGCCTTCTCTTTGCTGCCCTAATACCTCTAGAGAGCTCTATTCTAGCTGAGCGGAGAGCAGCCTTGTCCCCTCCTCTAAAGGCAGTGTCTCTGGCCTTTAGCAGCTGACGGACCTCTGCAGACACCCAAGGTTTTTGGTTGTTCTGTACTGTATACATTTTTAATACAGTAACATCCCCTGTGCACTTTGCAATGTAGCTCATCACCGTTTCCGCATATTCCTCAATATTAGTGAAGTGCCCACCCTTGGATGCTGCAGTTTGTAAAATCCCCCAATCAGTGCAACTAAAACAGTCCTGTAGTGCAGAGGCGGCCCCCTCTGGCCACACTCTGGTGTGCATCTGGGTTGCCCTGGCTCTCCTCGGCATGGGTTTATATGCTGGAACAAGCATCACAGATTTATGAACCGACAGGCCGAGATGGGGTTCAAATACAGTGCAGTTTTTACCTGACGACGGCGCGAGAGTTTTAGGCAGAATATTGAAATTTTACCAAAGATGCACTGAAGTGCCAAATTATTGACATTTGTCTACAGTACGTTTAGACACTCATTTAGTTTATCAGCAAAAAAAGGTTGATTTGGGGATGACTTGCTTTTTAAACACATGGATTCAGTCTTCATTTCCAGTCCTTATCTCCGCCTTTCCTTCTACCTGCACCCCGCTCTCACTAGAGATCATTGTCATCTGCAAACGTCATAGTCTTGTCTAATATAACATGTCTGTTCAAAGCAAACAAGGTTATCAGATCCAATCCTTGCAGTCTTGTCAGTACAACTCACATGTTCTGCCCCATTTTTAACAATCCTCTGCCCTTCAGACCTTACAATCTACAAAGATGCAATGCAGCTCTTCTGTCATCCATCTTCAGCATCCTTAAAGCAAAAGTAGCATCTGTACAATTCCTTGGCATCAGAGTGTTCTGCCTTCTTATTCCACTTTCCCAGAGCTTCATTGATAACTCATTAGCTTTGATCCTTTAGGTCCAACAATTGAAGCCATGTGCTGCTGTGTTTAATTTATTAAGTATGTTACACTCGTGAATTGCCTTTAAAATACCCCGTTCAAAGGGCACCTTATGGTGCCACAGGTTGGTGACCCCTGCATCTGCTTCACATTAGTTTTTTTAAACACCAATTTGTTAGTGATGCCTAAAATTAAAATCCAGCTTGTAATAACCATTTCCTTGTTTGTGGCCAAATATATATTTACTGTATACACACACCCACACTTTAGAGCAGCTTTTGGACTCCCAATGAATTAAAGGCAAGCTGTCTTCCAAGTCATGAGCAAATTTACGTATTTAGCTTCTAGTCTTTCATGCCATTTCAGCTTGGCTTTTATTATATATACGCACTCAAAATGCAAAGAGGAGGACACATTTCAAAGTAAGTTTATAGACAGGTTTAATTAAGTTTAAACACACACATGAGAATCCACACAGAAGGCAAAGCCAAACAGTTCTTGAACAAAAGGTCTTCCCAGTGTGAAGGTAGAGTGCCGTTTTTGAATTGCCTTTCCAAGTCAATAGTTATTAGTCTACTTCAGACAAACTGTCCCATCACAGCTTTAACAAGATGATTCAAGTGTTCCTGGTGGAAGAGAAACACAATTTCAGTGTTAGACAGGTGACAACCTATAAAGCACCAGGGTGGGGCTGCAGGAAGAACAGTTACCGTAGGACTTGAAGATGCACTTTTAGATGCAGACCTATGGGCTTGTGCACACCTCCCGTTATAGGGACACCACCACGTCTAAGCCATACCCCAGCCTAAATCGAGCTTTAGTCCTGTTAGGGATTTTGTCATGTAGTACCTGCAGTTGGAGGAGAGAGACAATGAAACAGATGATAAATCATTTTTGCAAATGGGGCAGATATGCTCACAAAAGTAGGCTCACAAAACTGCAAGGAGATACTGCCCTGAGAGCACACACACACTAAGGGACCAACTTCTGAATATCCATTCCATCAATCAATAAACTCATAATTTATCATAAGAAAACAACTAAACAAACCTTTGTTGCACTGCACAGCCAAGCGGTAGGACAAACTTGCTTCTTCTTCATACTGAGCCATGCTGAAACCTGTGAGTTTAAAAAACCCTCAAACTGCAGATTTCACAGCTGCAGCTCGTCTGCTTTGATTGGTCCTCTCAATACAACGGGTTAATCAGGCTTGCAGGGACAAACTTGGAGTCTCCCATTTGTTTTCCATCAATGACGGACACACATGAACTTTGATACAAAGATACACACTCATGTACGTAAATGTATTTTATTCTGTAGAAATATATTTGGGTTTATTAGAAATATTTAAGATTTCTTCATTTTTGTGTTGTGATTCAAAAGGGTCACTTTTCGCCATCTAAATGACACAGCATAACCTTTCATACACGCCAGAGCTGCAAAGTCAAGGTTACACCATCTGGAGGATCCAGACACACATCAACCTTTTGCCCACTTATTGTTCTTCAATGCGGACATAAATAAACTGCCATGGCTTTACAATCTATAAGTTAATTAATCATATGGTTGAATGAACAAGATGTTTAAATGAAATGTTTGAATAATTTGTGCTTAAATCAAAAATGTTGAAACGAATGTTGCTCTTACAATGATCAATTGCAGATCTTATGATCAGTACGTGTTTGATTTAACAAGTTATCATTATCTACACACATACACATCTTCATAAGATACAAATTAAGGTTAAGGTTTACCTCACATAAGTGTTTTAAGCCATTCTCATTCACAGTGATAAAAACATTTTTGAAACCGAAGGAAGGCGTGGCTTTCTGAGGGATGTTGGTAAATACCCATAAACCTGTCAAATTCTGATTGGCCAAACTTGGCCAGAAATCATAACAAAGTAGTTTAATAAAACAAAAATTACTTCTCGAGTAATTCAGTTTCTAACGGAGTTCCGAATCGGCCAATTCGGAACACGCATCCTTGAGACATCTCTTTTGACATACAGTCAAAAACCTGTTTGCACGCTGCAAGCTGACACAGCCAGACGGCTCCCTAAGAGCCACATCCACTTTGGACGCAAACAAGCGTTCCAGCTACTGTTGTGACCTGGAGACATCTCAAGACTGGACGGGTCGAATCGGAGTTAATCTATGAAATCCCGGTGCCGTGAGGTCCACCCGACTTCTGACAGTCCGGATCTGCTGGGGTCTGCTCCAGGGTTTGTAGACGCAACAGATTGCATCTTATGCTGTTTTATTAATAATCAACTCTCTAGTTTATAGCAGACAACAAATTCTTTTACACCCAGATTTCACGATTTCTTTCAGATACAAAGATTCTGATAAACATCTAACTTACATCACACCACCTACACATCACATTCTATCACCTCACACACACACACACACACACACACACACACACACACACACACACACACACACACACACACACACACACACACACACACACACACACACACACACACACACACACACACACACACACACACACATATATATATATACTGGCTCTCTAATAATCTGTTTCTGTGTTGTGTGCAGGTCAGCTGCAGCCCCTTCCAGGTGCCCTGCCCCCCTGTGGGTTTCTCTGGAGTGTCGCAGCTGACTGCAATTGCCCAATTACCACCCTTAAGTCTCCAGCCCTCAGTGTGGCGTTGTTTTTTCTGTATAACTTAATAGAGGCAGTGTGCCTTCGTGTTTGTGACTTCTGATTTGTTTTTCCCACTGTGTGCGGTGATTTTTGGTTATTAAAGACTCTGAACCAGAACCAAGGCTGGGTATTCCTGCAATTGGGTTACTACCTGAACCTCACCATGACAGTCATGTATAATCATTAGTTTAGAAAAGAATAAAATTCCTTTTTAACTATATACCTGACTGCCTGAATTAATACCAAGTGTGTTTATGGTCCCTGAACAAGTAAAAGTAATTATAATCTTCTGATTAAACATTCAAAGATTAATCAGGTTGATATTTCATATTTATATGGAATTATCACACCTTATTTGTCATAATTAATTTGCAGTTGTCACTCTATAAAGTGTGACTGCTGCACTTGATAATGTTATCAATATGACAATAAGGAAATGTATTTCTTTGATTAAGTTTACATGAATAAATAACTCCTCAATGTTTACGGCTGGACACACAGTGCCGAGGTGAACATTAAAGATCTTCATACACAAGACCAGTGGTAAAACTCACCTCCCCACCAGGGAAGCAGGCAGAGAGAAGAAACCAAGCAGCTCATTGGCTTCTCTAACTCGGCGCTTGTTGACAACTGGCTGACCGTGACCTCTACTTTTCTCATTGGCAATAAAATAAATAAAAAATACATATTAGTTGATCTCAAGTTCTGAGAGAGTTGGACATTAGGCTCTTTGACCTCCAGCTGAAGCTGCTATAGGGTTGTAGTGGTACACGAGCAGGGATTCCTTCCTGTTCAGGGGCCGTGTAAGCCAAATTTCATTCTGTTACTCTCACATACATATATCCTCCTCACACATGCATGCATTCTTCTCATACATACACACATTATACACTCATACACACGTATTCGATGCACACACACTTATATTATCTACACAAACACACATATATGCTCTGCACACACACACACACAGACACACACACACATGAATGAACACGTGGAGTTATAAAAAGTGAAATAACTGAAAACATGTTTATACGCTTTTTTTTTAAAGCCATCCTTTGCTCTGATTACTGCTTTGCGTATTCTTGGTATTCTCGTATTGAACTTCAAAACCTGAAATGGTTTTCCAACAGTGTTAAAGGACTACCTCTCGGAGCTCATCGAGAGAATGCCAAGAGTGTGCAAAGCAGTGTAGAGACCCATCAAAAATGGCGGCCAGCCACTACAGCAGCTCCAGTCAGGCAGCACCAGTCCATAGGGGGCAGCAGTAGCTCAACAGGTTGAGTGGGTTGTCCAGTAATCGGAAGGTTGCAGGTTCAATCCCTGCTGTTGTGGCTGTTGTGTCCTTGGGCAAGACACTTAACCCACCTTGCCTGCTGGTGGTGGTCGGAGGGACCCAGTGGCGCCTGTGCTCGGAAGCCTCGCCTCTGTCAGTGCGCCCCAAGGCAGCTGTGGCTACATCGTAGCTCATCACCATCAGTGTGTGAATGTGTGTGTGAATGGATGAATGATACACTGTAGTGTAAAGCGTTTTGGAGTCCTTACTCTGAGAGGCGCTATACAAGCACAGGTCATTTATCATTATCATAGGTCAGATTTTAAGACCAGTGATGTCACAGCGTAACAACGACTGTCCAAATTCAAAGAGTGCTCAGAATACGGTCTTGAAATCCATTTTTCTTTTCCCCGATTTTGAGAACAGGTGGGATGTAGTCTCCTCACCTCTATAAATCCCGAGATGCACTGTGGGATATCACACAGATAGATATGAAATACAGTAGCGTTTTCATGTACCCCAAATTACTCATGTCATGAAGCTAGCTCAAGTTGACATTAAATTGGTAAGAGCAAATTACCAAATAAAGGCAAATGATATTAAACAGCATATTATAGCATCTAAGCCAGATATACAAAATATGCCGGCGGTATATCTACTGTAGCTCTTCAATCGGAAACAAAACAAGGAAAAAGTTTAACACATGTGCAAGCTCCATTTCTACAGCTTCTTCTCAGTGCAGTATCATTGCTAGGTGACAGGCGGACATCTGCTGAAGTAGAGGCGGGACTGTTATTTAGGGCTAGACTGTCCATATTCACAGCTGTTAACATCTGGTCTAATCGGTCATGGAAGAACACGTTCTCCTGAGACCAATGAGGACGGGTACTCATGAACCCCTGAATTTGGACACAGCCAATATGTCTATATCTCCATTCACCTCCAGTTCATTCATTTCTACAGAGGAAGGTGTTTCCCCAACTAAAAAACACATTTTATCAAACTTTTACACCAAATTATACACAAGGTATGGCATGATGCTTAAAACATGAATGTAATTAAACAAGATAAAATTAAAATAAATTTAAACATAAAATCTTATCAGATCAGGCTAGAAAACTCCTTAATAATCCTATATGTGATCAATTGTGTGCCGGTTGTTGTAATCATAAGCTGCACAAAAACAGGCATAGTTGCTCACTCTACTGAGTGTGGAGACCCATCCAATAAGGCGGCGACACTGATATAATCTCCAGTGCCAAATGATACGTCTACTTATTCATGTCTATGGAAGGTTGGGGCTGTGTATTCTTTTTTTATTTTATTTTATTTTTTCCAAAATCTTTATTTAAGCTTCAAAATATTTCAGTACAAGTTAAACGGAACAAAATACCAAGTATCAGTAAATTTATGTTGTAACACAAGAATAGAACAGAAAAAAGATATACAACCAGCCAGAGATAATATTTATCAAAGTCACATTAAGTTTGTCCATAATACATATAGTTTTAATTGCTTTTTTAGTTTCAAGAGTTCTAATTGTAATGAGTTCTTTGTGAAATAGACAGTCTGGCAGGCCAGGCTAGCAAATTAGTGATTAATGTAAAAAAATCTAATTTAAATAAAAAGATTAAATGTCCCAAATGATGCATTGTTTTTCAAAAAGTTGCTTATTTTAAAATGGTGGTAATAATAATAATAATAATAATAATAATAATAATAATAATAATAATAATAATAATACGAAAAAGAAGATGATGATGATGAAGAATAGTTTAAATATTTATAATAATTTTAATAGTAATAATTTGAGTTTGGTTCCTCCATCAAACGTCCACTACAGGGAGGCTGTGCAAAAACCTGCGCTCTGAACAAAACATCTAGAAAATATACTTTTTATTAGTCAAAACTTAAACCTTAATCTATGATGCAAAATCATCCAATGCATAATTTGAATTGTTTACTCATGTTGAAACAAAAATGTAAAAGCATATGAAATGGCATCTAGTTGCGTACAGGATTGTTTATGATAGGACCCATGCTGTCCTGCAGAGGCGCGCGGCGTCATCCGAGCGTCACGTAGTTGCGTCGTCTGTTGGTTTCTTCTCACCGACTTGAAGAGAATTCAACGTCGCCAAGAAGAAAAAGGGGATAAAGAAGAGGGGAACAGAAACATCTGGTACCCAAACTCAGCTGGTAAGATTCTGTAATGTTTAATATACTTCGAAGCCCCTCGTGGGAATATTTGAAGGTTTTGGATGTAGAAGGTTTGTCAAATACGAACGAGAGGCATGCCGCGCAGAGGGCCTGCATAGACGGGAGCTAGTGGAGGCTAGTGGGGCCTGCTTACCAGGGCGCTGGGGTTTAGGCTCGGGGACAGAAAAGTGTTCACAGCACGTGCTCAAAAATCAGGACGCGGTGCTTTGGGTAGCTAAGCGGGAAGGCTCTAAAATACAACCCCTTCATAGCTCGTGGAAGTCGCTTGCTTACATGTTTTTTATGTTATGTAAAGTTGCATCACTCCCATCTCGTGTCAATCTCTGACGGATTTTATATTTGCCTACTTCTCAGGAATGAAACGACATGCATGCAACCTGTTAGCATGCTAATGCTAGTAGCCTAGGTGTGCTACTCAGGCCGCTGAGATTTGCCTGATTTAAAAACAGCCAACATGTTAATCCCACGTATTTTTTTTTATAATTACATTATACCAAAGCTATATGTTATACCTTGTGTTCATTTTTTGTCTTGAATTAGGAGTAGCATTTGTGTTGTTCTCCAACACACATTGTTACCATCCATATTCTTGTAAAATATGGAATTTGTTTTTCCACATTTTCCATGCCTGGATAATTATGGGGGAAAAAACGACTTGGGAAAGTATTAGTTTGCAACTGGAATGTATTTTATATTTTCGTATTATACATGTCGTGTCATGTCATGCATTACTATCATGCCTTCTTGATTATTCAATGAGATGGTTTTTCATATATACATGAATGTATAAATGCATACACATACTACACCATTAACCTTATTAACACTGATAAACCACTTTTTTTCTGATTATAATTGGTCACGCTTGAGATTTTCATCTAGGCTGAAAATAAAATAGTTTTCTACATGTATCTCCTGCATTAGCTTCAGATAGGAAATAAGTGATGAAATTCTAGGATTTGAAAATCTGACTGATCTATGTCACACTGTCAATTAACATTCATGGACTCACCCATCTTGGCTCGAGATGGGGAAGTCTGTTGTTGGTTTAGCATCCAGAAAAGAATGTCTCGACTAGCAAAAGCTAACCATTAGCATTAGCAACTCCACAACATGGCACAAGTCCTTCAGGCAGTGGTAGTCTTGTTGCTGTTGTCCACTCCAAGGTGAAATGTCCAAATATCAAGGAAAAAAATAACTAAATCCCACGACTTACAAGGCATTCATTCCCACTAGAGACCACGGCAAATGTACTGATTAAACAATTGGTTTAGACCTTTTAAGCATCATAAGGGCCTAAGTTAACAAAGTTTTCTCTAGTAAACAGTTTTTTATTTATTTTTATTTTTTTGTCATATTGCATTTCTGGAGTTGGAGAAAAGCCGGGGGCAGTGTTGCAGATGAATGGTTTATTTTTTTTATGTTTCTTTTTTTGTTCCAGCTTGGACCTAAGTAAACATTTAGAGATTCTTTGTTTGAAGGTCAATATCAGTATTTAATTCTTGTACAGCCCTGACCTGCTGATTCCTATTCATCTTAATCTTGCAAAATAAATCTTTTCTCAAATTTCTGATTAACGTAAAAAGGTATTCTGAAAGTTAAAAATAATCTTATTGCCAGTGTGAATTGGTGATAAGAGATGGTGAGTTTAGAGACTATGGTAAAGGCTATTTTTTGGTTTGGCTGTTCAGCAGTGGTAGTGTTACAGACTAGAAAACAGCTATCTGATTTGTGAGTTTGAAATTGACTGATTGCAATCATCATTGACTTTCTGATGCATCTCTAAAATTCTCTCTTCTGCTTTTTTATTTACCTACAGTGGTTTCAAATCTAAGTGGGGAAAAGACCATTTTATCTTATGGTTCTTCTTAAGGTCACATTTCACTTACTTTCTGTTGATGTTGGTGTTACAAACTCGATTTAAAACAAACTATACACTCAAATGTGCTGGTCACGGTTTATTTTGTTAAAGGCAAAGGCATCACTTTATTTTAAAGTTATATTTGTTTTCTGTGCTGAAATACTGATATACAAATTAAAAAACCCTCTAAATGAATCCATTTTGTTTAGATGTTAAGCTTGTTGAGTTATTCAGACTACGGGTTGGCTTTTTTAGTCAATCACATTGTCTGATTTTTGTCTCATCTCCGCTCAGCCTCAGGAGCAGTGAAGTGTCTTCATGGCAGTTCGTCGAGGACACAATAAATACTTAAAAGTGAGTATTAAACTCCAGCTCCCATTTTAAACAGTTTAGTTGTACGTGCCGTACCTGTTTGCAAAGTGAGAAGCCTTTGACATTTAGTTGGCAAATATAAATTAAATTCTGACAGCAGTCACTTTTTTCTGAAAGGAAAAACAAAAGTATTAGTAAATCTTACGTTATATAAATTGGGAATAAATCCGGTGTAGCTCTATGGCTTTGTGCATGCTTATTAGTTTGATAAAAGACACTTTTGTGCTTACGGTCTGTGCTTTTCACCCAGCAGAATCACAGTCCCTCTCGGGTATGAATGGCCCTCTGTCATTTTGACTCCATTTTAGACCTAGTCCTGTCTCAGCTGCTAGCAAAAATGCCCTATTGAATGTTTCACTTTCACAAATCAGGAAAAAAGGCATTTTGAGTTTTTTCTTGGCCTCCTGTCTTGTGGACACTGTAGTCTGAACGAACTGCACACATCCCATGCATGTTTAAATCATAGCTTTTATCCAGTGTAGGGCTGAAACGATTCCTCGAGTACCTCGAATAATTCGAGTACAAAAAATCCTCGAGTCAAATTCTCTGCCTCGAGGCTTCGTTTAATTCATGTTTAATTAATTCATGGCTTTGCAATCGCCCAAGGTCATGTTTCACTTGGACCGAAAAAAGTGACGCCCATTGGGGTTGTCACGGTGTGAAAATTTAACCTCACGGTTATTGTGACCAAAATTATCATGGTTTTCTGTATTATCACAGTATTTTTTTTAAGCGTGTTACATTTTCAGACAACTAAATAAACCCTGTATATCAGGAAAATATTTTCCTCAGTTTGTGTCTAAATTTAGTCTAAAATGTGTTATTTTGCAAATATGTTGTTTTTTTGTTTACATATTTCTCATTTAGTCTTTAAAATACCAATATTTTCCCATAACTTATTTTTTGTCTGTTTGATGTCATCATTTAAAAAAATGTTAGACGAGATGATACTCAGTACTCAAGTAGCCTTCTAATCAGATACTTTTTTTTACCCTTACTTGAGTAATAAACCCTATATCAGGAAAATATTGTCCTCGGTTTGTGTCCTTCCAGTGAGCTTTGCAGATGTGGGAAAATGTCATCAGGCAGTAATCATTGTTAAATTCATAATTATTCTCGGAGAGAGAACAACTCTTATCTGCCCCTGGGAGCCCCGTAATGCATAGCGTCATTTCAACATGGGTGTGTCTGCTACACGGTTTATATGCAGGTAGCGGCGCTGCGGCTGCTTTATGTAGCGACTTGTTGCATTCTCCCTCAACCCAAATCCTCGGATCACGCATTTTAGCTAAAACGCTAACGTTAACTTGCCTTGCGTTGACTGTAGAGTTGTGGGTGATGGTCACGCAGATGTGTCATGAGATTTGAAGCGCTGCTGCCTTTCACAGATACTTTTTCTGCACCTGCTGCAAACAGGATAGCCGTCTTCTATCAACTGTCCCTCGGCATTCTTCAAATATCCAAAAGATGCCCGTACTTCTGACTTTGTCTTCTTTGAGGGATAATAAATGTCCTGAGCACTGCCATCTCCTCCTGTCCATTATTTCAGCTTTAGCTTCAAGAAAGTTTGGTTGTAAACATCGAAGTGCGCATGTGCCGCCAGCAACTTCAGCAGATGATACGGTGGCTGGTAAGGGTCACCAAGCCTACACCGCAGCCACGGTAATCCACCGAGCGAGATAATATATTTTTTAAAAACAAGACTGTTATTATTATTGTCAACTTTTTTACCGGGGTTTACCGCTACACCGGTTACCATGACAACCCTAAAGCACATACATACTGCACTGAATGCACACGCGAGTAGCGAATGTAACTTAACTTTCTCTTGAGCCATGGCGGACAACGTGGACCCCGGTGGAGTGCGAAAAAAACAGGAAATGTCAAAGGTGTGGGACCATTTTTCACGTCGTAAGGCGGAAAACGTAGTCCAGTGTAAATACTGTAAAATGGGTTTAGCCTACCACAACACCACATCCTCGATGCTGCAACCTGACCAGGAAACATCCACTTGTAAATAGGGCTGCAGCTATCGAATATTTTTGTAATCGAGTACTCTATCGAATCTTTTTTTCGATTAATCGAGTACTCTAATAAATTACCCTTTTGTGTTTGTAAACCTTTATATCATATATTGATGAGCCAAGATGGCGCCGAGTATGGCTGCCTCGTCGCGAGCTCCACCAAGTTCCAACATTACACACTCCATACTGTACATTAATGCCACTGTTTTGCACATACCAACCTCTGTACATTTTATATCTCTTATCTTATTGTTTACTTTATTCATTTGTATACTTAGATTAGCCATTTTTATATTTTACTTGTTTTTACATTACTGTATTTTTGCACAACTCTGTTGCTGTGAAGCTCGCACACAAGAATTTCACTTGCATGTACTGTACCAGTGTACCTGCACATGTGACGTGACAATAAAAGTGATTTGATATCAAATAGCATGTTATAATTATGAAAGACCTCTTAAAATGAGCAAGCAATTGCCAGTTATTCTTCAAGTTTTATTCAAAATTATTTTGCATAACTTCAGCACTTCAACTTTACTTCACAGTAAACAAATGCCTGTGCAAAAAATAAGTAAACAACCTGAGCCGATTTTCCCCTCATGCGAGAATCTGCTAGCCTGCAAGCCAGACAAAAACTAGGAGGATAACGCTGCGAGCGGCTGCGGCCCAAACAGAACCAGAACCGCTCATGTCGCAAACAGCTCGCCCCTGTTTCCCTATTAACACACGTCCGTTTTAATTTCTACACTTTTTTTCTCACACTAACAAGGATTGCCAAAAGCATGTTTGCTGTGGTTTTGTCAAATTATACTGATCACACAACATGTATTTACTTTCTTTCGTTTTCCTCCGCCACTCTCATAAATACCCGTGTCCTGCTGCAGAAACCCCGAGGGACAACAGACATCAATAACACAATAAAAAATCCGACGTGTTGTGTAAAAACTGCTATTTTTTAGCACATTTTAAGTCCGACGTGTTGCTACCAAACGTACGGTGTGAGCTGAAACTGAGTGCTACAAACGAAAAAGTCACAGAGTCCGCAGAATATATAGAAATACAGGCTAAAATGCACTATCTTGTAGAGGCTCTGAGTCCGCTTGCAGAAGTGACATTTACAGGTGCTGCAGCACGGAGGATGTGGTGTTGTGCTAGGCTAAATCCATTTTACTGTATTTATACTGGACTACGTTTTCCACCTTACGACGTGAAAAATGGTCCCACAACTTTGACATTTTCTGTCTTTTTCGCCCTCCACCGGGGTCAACGTTGTCCGCCATGGCTTAAGAGAAAGTTAAGTTATATTCGCTACTCGCAGTCCAGTGGGCACGTGCGTCACTTATTTCGGTCCGGGTGAAACATGACCACGGGCGATTGCAAAGCCATGAATTAATTAAATATGAATTAAACGAATCCTCGAGGCAGAGAATTTGACTCGAGGATTTTTTGTACTCGAATTATTCGAGGTACTCGAGGAATCGTTTCAGCTCTACTTGTAAATGTGACTTCTGCAAGTGGACTCGGAGCCTCTACAAGATAATGCATTTTAGCCTGTATTTCTATATATTCTGCGGACACTGTGCGACTTTTTCATTTGTAGCACTTGGTTTCAGCTCACACCGTACATCTGGTAGCAACACGTCGGTCTTAAAATGTGCTAAAAATAGCAGTTTTTACAACACGTCAGACTTTTTATTGTGTTGTTATTGATGCCTGTTGTCCCTCGGGATTGCTGCAGGAGGGCACAGGTATTTGTGAGTGGCGGAGGAAAAACGAAAGAAAGTAAATAAATGTTCTGTAATCAGTATAACTTGACATAATCACGTCAAACATGCTTTCTCGAAAATCCTTGTTAGTGTGAGAAAAGAAAGTGTAGAAATTAAAACAGATGTGTGTTAATAGGGAAATAGCTGGCGAGACATGTTTGGGCATGTGCCGTGAGTGTTTCTGGTGCTGTTAGGGCTGCAGCCGCTCGCATTTGTTTACTGTAAAGTTGAAGTGCTGAAGTTTTGAAAACTAATTTTGAATAAAACTTGTATAGCTGGCAATTGCTTGCTCATTTCAAGAGGTCTTTCATATTTTATAACATGCTATTTGATATAATGGTTTACAAACGCAAAAGGGTAATTTATTAGAGTACTCGATTAATCGATAAAAGATTCGATAGAGTACTCGGTTATAAAAATATTCGATAGCTGCAGCCCTAATCCAGTGAATTACAAACAACTGAGCAAATGGACAACGAAGTCTATAAACGGTGCTGAAGGTCGGGTGAGGAGGGGTGTTGTGATGTGTATGAATTGAACTGGATGAAAAAGGTGAAAATAGAGATGATGATTAAACTGGAACTCAGATAATTGATCTTATCCTGCTCATTTTTTTAAGTGTTCCCTAATGTTGTGTTTTCTTTTTATAGAGAGATAAATGTTATAAATGATCCATTTTGACCTTGGGTGTCCTGAAAGGCGCTTTTAAATAAAATGTATTATTATTATCATTATTATTCTCTAATGAAAAATATTAAGGGTGCTCCGATCACTTTTTTTGCCCCCGATTCAATCCCGTATCATTTGATACCCAGTATGTCAAAACCCGATAATTTTCAGGAAATCACACAATTCACAAAAATTAGTAAAAAATAAATTACTTTAAGGAATGCAATAAAATAATAAGAAAAAAGACATGCTAACTTTTTCCTGTCCAATGCCTGTAGCTACAGCACAGCTCCGGTGCTGTAGGAAACTTGGGAACCCCACTGTTTTGGAGTCTGTTGTAGGGCTGCCACAAACGACTATTTTAATAGTCGACTAATCGCCACTTTTGACAATTTGTCGACTAACCGTGTCATTCATTAAAGTTTAGCTTATTGCACCAGGATGCTCTAATATACCCATCATTACCTTCTAGTCTTATGTGTGATCAGCTATGTGTAATCTAATAATAAAGACAAGATGATAG